CAGGAGCAGTGGCAGTGCCAGCACCATTTCCTGACCTCTGACAACACATCTGGGAGAGCAGAGCCAGCACGAGATCCCGAGGGGGTTAAATCCCACAGCCATGCGGGACACCAGCAGCTTCATGGAAGCAATGAGGATGTGAGGCATGTGGGATGTGGGTCTCAACTCGCAGTGGGCAGCGGGCTCTGAAGTGCTGTGCCAGGCAGAATTCCCCCCACGGAGAGGAGAATTCAGTATTCCCCACATCCACATTTCCCAGCTTTACAAAAATGACCTATGGCATGGAGCAGGCTGTAGGGATGCAGCACATCTGTGTCTCAGTGCAGTCCATATCCATGCCCTCTTCCCAGCTGCACCTTCCCAACTTTCCATGCCCCTCACGGCAGTGCCGAGCCCCACGGTAACACGAGCCAAGCCACGGGGAGCAACCAGGGAGGGCAGGAGGACGGAGGAGGAAGAGGAGGAGGAGGAGGAGGAGGAGGAGGAGGAGGGGCAGGAGAAGCAGCACTCACGTTGATCATAGCATTGGAGGTGATGCGGAAGAGCGTGGCGCGCTCGTTCACCGCCTTGATCTTCTCCCCGCTGTCGGCCGGCAGGCGCAGGTTCTCCAGCTCGCTGAGCGAGCGCTGCAGGGCCGCGCCGTGCTTGGCGATCAGCTCATTGCAGGTGCTCAGGTCCTCCAGCTTACTCGACAGCGTCTTCAGGGGGCCGTGCAGCTCGCTCTTGTCTGACTGCGAGGCGGGCTCCTCGTCACCCGAGTCATCTGCACAGGGAGGGATGGAGAGAACAGCGTTTCCATGGTTACCCCCGGCCCTGAGCCCGGCAGCGCCACGGGCAGGGACCGGGGACCGGGGAGCAGGGACAAGGGAGCAGGGAGCGGGGACCAGGGAGCAGGGACAAGGGACAAGGGACAAGGGACGAGGGACCAGGGACAAGGGAACAGGGACAAGGGAACAGGGACAAGGGAGCAAGGAGCAGAGACCAGGGACAAGGGACCAGGGACCAGGGAACAGAGACCAGGGACAAGGGACCAGGGAACAGGGACAAGGGACCAGGGAACAAGGGAGCAGGGGCAAGGGAGCAAGGAGCAGAGACCAGGGACAAGGGAACAGGGACCAGACCAAGGAGCAGGGAGCAGAGATCAGGGACCAGAGACTAGGGACCAGACACCAGACCAGGGACTAGAGACCAGGGACCTCCCACCTCCTGCCAGCGCCTGGCTGGGGGTCATGCCACCGCGTGGTAGGGGTGGCACCCAGAGCCCTGAGCAGCTGCTCCTGTGGCTTTCACCGAGATCTGGTTCAGGGTTGGGTGCTGGGGTGGCACAAGGGGTGCCACACACCAAACCTGCCCTTCCCAGGCTCACTGGGCTCTACTCTGCACTGGGGGATCTGCCAGCTCTGTTTGGGGCAGGGTGAACTGTGTCACCTGAGGGAAAGGTCACAGAGACACCAAAATCACTGTGACACTTCACCCAAAACCACCACAATCAAACGGCAGAAAACTCCACCATCAGCACCTCAGCTACAGCAAAAATTCCTGCAATTCCAGAATACTTAAAACCAGGAAACTAACCCAAATCCACTCAGTTATTATGATTTATGATCACCCCGCTGCTCCTCCAGGAAGGAGGTGATTGGCCTCAGGATGCAGCAGCACCCAAAACAAATACAGAGAGAAGCAGTCCTGGGCAGGGGCTGTGCCTCATCCTTATGCTCCAAAGTTTAGCCAAGGATTTTCCAGGTGCTCCCAAAACCCAGTGAGGCAGCAGAGCAGGGAGCTGCTCCTGTGTCTCCCTTCTCCCACTCTTCTGTTTCTGGGTTTCAGAGAGATGGGCACCAGCAAAACCTGGCTGCAGCTTCTCTGCCAGGTCTGGGGGAGCTGGGGGGAGTGAGAACTTTCTCCAAACAAACCAGGCACGGAGCTCAGGGATGGCTCTGGTGTAATGGGGGAGCAGCACATTCCCTCTCAGGGCTGCGAGGAAGGAAGGAAGGAAACCCGTGATTCCCCAGCAGGTGGGTGTTTGGCTGCTATTCCTGGCTCCTTAATAGAAGTTCTGGAAATGCTGTGGGTACTGGGAGAGGTGTTGAGGCACTGCTCAGATTGAATCCACAGTAAGGAAACCAGAGGAGGAGCAGCCTTTGAGTACTGTGATCTTAAGGCGAGGATCTGGATAAATGTGACAGATCACATTTATGCACCTGGAGTGGAAGCAGGAGCAGAGCACAGCACAGTGTCACACCAGGACTCAGGGTGAACCTCCCCAGAATGGATGTGATGGCACAGGAGACAGAGCTCAGGGACAATCTTCCACAGCAGGACCCACCTCACTGCCCAAGAATAATGGGAGAAAATCCAAGGGAAACAGGGCACAGAGCAAACCCCAAGTGGCTCATGAAGCACCAGGACAGCGTTTCCCAATGTCACCACTTGGTCCCTGTGCAGCCCAGCTGACAACCACAAGCAGCAGCTGCTGGAGCCAGGAGAGGAAGAGGCCACCAAGGACAACCAGAGCACCCAGCTGAGAGCTTCCCAAGAAGGGGAGCTGCCAGCTGAGGTGTCTGAGACAGGCTGGGGAGCTGCTGAGCCTGGACAGGGGACAGGACCAGAGGTGTGAAAACACACCCGGAATCAGGGGAGGCCCCAGAGCAGCTGGTAGGGGCAGGGGAATAGGAACTCCAGGATTCCGAGGACTCCATCCCAGAAGGGTGCACAGAGGCACCACAGCCATGGCACAGGCTCACACCACAGAACAACTCCAAAAGACCTGGCAAGAAAATCAAAGCCACTTTTCTACCAGTACAGAAAATAACCAAAACCTCCTCAAAGTCCATTTCTGGATACAAAAGTTTCAAGTATTCCCAGGGTGCCTTCCACCTATGCTGGGGCACACAAAGGGTCCCCAGCAGTGTGGGCATGTTTCCTGGCCTTGGATATTGTCTGCACCTGTCCTGAGCCAGTGCTTCCATAGCATTCCACACCCTGGACACTCACTGGGGACACCAGGCTGCTCCTGCTGCTCTGAGCTGTGTCCCTGGGGCTGTCCAGGGCAGTCTCTGGCCTCCTTCACCATCTCTCTCTCCAGGTGAGGAACTGTGCTCTTCCCACCAGCATCCCAGCAGTCTCTGCAGGCTGTGCCAGCTTCACTCCAGAAGGCAGAACCTCCCCTCCACAGCTCTGGGATCTGATCACTAACGAGGCTGGACTTTAAGAGCCAATTTATAATAAAGTTCCATGTTCTATAAAGCTGCCAGGAGCAGAAGCCAACCCTGCTGGCTCAGCTGTCATTGCCAACAGGAGCCTGAACATGGCAAACCCCACCTCTGAGGGACTCCGGGGGACAATTCAAATTTTCCAATTCTCTGTTTGCAGACACCAAAAATAATTCAAAAAGACAATTTTATCTGCTTACAAGCGCTGCAAAAATTGTGCCAAACAAAGAAAATGCCTCTCTGCCAATCCCTAGGCAGCATTAACCCCCATACCCCTCCCTTTAATTTTTCCCCCATCCTGCCTTACACAAAATGCTGCCCCAAAGTCCTGGCTCCCATGGGCTGTCAGTGCTCTGGGATTTCCACAGCAAAGCCTGGATCACCTTGCCCAGGTGCAATCCCAGACCACAGCCAGGGGATTTTTCATAGAATCACAGAATGCCCTGAGTTGGGAAGGACCCACAGAGATCACACAGACCCCCCAACAATCCCAGCCTGTCCATCCCTGGCAGCGCTGTCCAAACGCTCCTGGAGCTCTGGCAGCCTCGGGGCCGTGCCCATTCCCTGGGGAGCCTGGGCAGTGCCAACACAGGGATGGCAGAGCACGGAGAGGGACGGGCTCTGCACTTTGCCAGGACATTATTTCCTGCCCATTGATTGAGGCTGTGGGAACAATCCCTGTCAGAGTGCTCAGCTTGAGGCAGGAACACAGCATGGCCTAATTTTTTATCACTGTGCAGAATTATATAAATGCCTCAAAGCCCAGGAAAAGGGGGAAGGAACCTGGGTCAGCCCAGTGATGCTGCTCATTCCAGCTGAGCTGGCTGAGCATCCCTCACCAGCTCCTGCTGTCCCAAAGCTGCTGCTGTGGGATGCTGGAATGCTGCCAGGGTGGGCAGCAGGACCCCACCTTCCTCCTCCTGCCTGGGCAACTGCAATCACAGAATCATGGAATAGCCTGGGTCAGGACCTTAAAGTTCACCTCCTTCCATCTTCTTCACATGGGCAGGGACACCTTGCACTAGAGCAGGAACCAATTAATTATATATTAGATATATATATATATATATATATATATATATATATAAATGTATCAAGCAACATAATTTGTTGCAATCATCTCAAATCAAAGCATGGGAAGAAGGAAATCCAATATCACAGTCAAATAAATCAGAGTAGCTGAAAGCAGAAATGATCACACAGAGCACCCAAACCTCCTCACTGCCATTCCCAAGGTGGAGCTCTGACACTGGCTCTGAAGGTGCTTCCACCTTTCTCCTGGGAGCTCCTGGGAAAGCTGACCAAATCCCAAATCCACAGAAACAGGAATCCTTGTTTCCTGCAGCAAGCATCAGCTCCAGATCCCAGGAGAGGAGCCCTGCTCCCACCAGGTCATCCCCACTCCCCTCCAGCTGCTCCTGGTACCAGCAGGACAAACTGGCACGGGAATGCTGTGACACAGCCAGGACAGGGGCTCTGGGCTCGGGCATCCCCTCATTCTCCATCAGGAATGCTGCTTTGAATCACAGCATCATATAGGCTGGAAAAGACCTCCAAGACCATCATGTCCCACCTCTGACCAACCTTTGCACCTGACACACCAACTCCTGGAGCTACAACTGAAGATTATCATGAAGGGCTGGAGGAGAGAGCTGCACAAATATTTATCCTGTTGCTGAGGATGAAGGATTCACTCATCCAGAAAGGTGGGAGAGCAGCAAGCCTCTGCCTGGAGGTCTTTGCTTGGAGCCCAGCCAAACACCACAGCTTTGAGCATCCTGCCCTTATTCCAGCTTTTGTATCAGCTCAGACAGGGAAAAAAAATATTTGGCTTTGCTAAGGCAGGGAAAACACCCTGGAGGTCAGGAAATACCCACAGAGAGAGTCTATCCAGGGCTCCTCATTCGAGCATGGACCACAGGAGATTTGAAGAAGCCAAAGTGCAGCAAGATCACAGCACTGGGACTTCAACCTGAATGAGGGATTCCTAACAGCACCCACTCAGGGTCACAGAACCTCTTGGAAGCTGCAGAAACACAGATTCCTAAATACTTGGGAGGATTTAGGAGAGGGAAGAGGGGGAGAGGGGAAACATGACTCCCACAAGGTGATGGTGAGGGACACCCAGCAGAATCTGACTGAAACATTCTCCAGCACAGCTCAGAAGGAGTTTTAGTGATGTTTTTGAAGGGAATTCCAAACATGCAGAGGATGAGGAGGAACCAGAAGAGGGGAAGTGAACAGGCTGAGGTGGAGGATGCTCAAGGGCTGGAGCATGCCCAGGGAAGGGAACGGAGCTGGGAAGGGGCTGGAGTCCCAGGAGAGGCTGAGGGAGCTGGGAAAGGGGCTCAGCCTGGAGAAAAGGAGGCTCAGGGGGGACCTTGTGGCTCTGCACAACTCCCTGACAGGAGGGGACAGCCGGGGGGGTCGGGCTCTGCTCCCAGGGAACAGGGACAGGAGGAGAGGGAACGGCCTCAGGCTGGGCCAGGGCAGGCTCAGGGTGGATTTTGGAAACATTCCTTCATGGAAAGGATGGTCAGACCTTGGCAGG